ATATTTTTATATATAGAATGTTGTTAAAAAATTTATTATTAAAATTCATTTTAAGTGTATAATTATAAATTTATGTAAATAAAATTTTAAAATAGATTTTGTTTGGAGACAGTATAAATAGTTGTTTTCAAATAAATATAAATTTTTATATTTTAAAATCAATTTTACTGATAATCAAACTTATAACAATCATGATTCTAATAATTTTATAATATGCAATGAAATTAATTATAAACATGTTTGATATGAAATCAAACATATAGTAACATAAAAAAATCACGTTAAAAAGATACTAGTTGTTAAACATATCTCACAAAAAATACATAATATATTACATATCAACGATACAATCAATATTTTTATACTATTAATTAAAAATATAGAATTATTAGGAAATGTTTTCTTTGTTGTTATCCGTTAAAAAAAATATAACAAAAATAATTGATAAAATACAAACAAAATCAAACATTTATACAACATGTATACTGCAATAAAATAAAATATTTTGAGTAATGATGGACATAAATTATTAGAGTTTAAGTTGGAAGTATACAATAGGAAATTAAAAAAATAAAAGATAAGAAGACATCATCCAATCAATAATTGCACAGGAGAAGTGTACGTATAATATATGAGAGGGTTTTAGTGTCCCTTTTGTTATTAGGAAATGAGACGCTAACACGTGTGTTTAATAGTCGAGTTATAGTGAATTCTGACATAATCGGTCAAGGAACAATTGTGGAATTTTACTGAATTTCCAAACTTAGTGCAGTAAGTGCAGCAGAGGGGGTGTTGGTGTAGGCGACCGTGACGACATCCGCAGTACAACCCAATGACTTCCACGGCGAGCCTCATCCTCCCACCGACACCTCTCACGCGCGACTCACGTGAGGTCAGGTCATGTGGCAACACAATGGTGTCGTTCCCCTCATGCAGTGACCCCTTCTACAAAATCAGGTGCAGCAACAGCAAGAGCGTCCTCTTGGACACGCTCAACAACGCCTCGCCGTCAACCCCAAAGCCCAACGCCTCGTCATCCAACCCATACCTCTCCTGTCCAACACCTACGTCACCACCGACAAAGCCCACCAGGGGATCCAATCCCCCCTCAGCTCAACTGCTCTGCTGCCTGCACCGACGGCTCCTGCAACTCCTACTGTCCTACATGATTTCTTAATCATAACTCTAATCTTCCCGTCAACCGCTGGCCCTAACCAGGTTTGGAGATTCAGTGAAATTCTAGAATTGCCCCTTGACCGGTTATCAGAGAGTTAACTATGACTTAGGTTATTAAATACACGTGTAACATCTTATTTCATCAAGTGGCACCAAAACCCTCTTATATAAACTGGCACGTAGCATTAATAGCCTTATGGGTATTGTTAATTCCTTGGTCTTCTTCTATTATCGAGCATGGCATCAAAAAGGAAGAGCGGTTGCAGCAAGGAGTTCGCAGAGAGTTATATGTTGTTGAACCCAGAAGACGCTGATTTCTTTGATCTATTAGGTGTCCTATTTTCCCGAAAGTTGGGAAATCGAAGATTCGTGGAGTGTGACGCAGAGGGGGCTGTTGAGGGAAGCTTCCGCCACAGATGGCTCATATTTGTGTCTGTCGTACTGCAGAAGTTTCTCATGTACGTCGCTAAGCCACTTGCCTTTTTCGGCTCTTGCATTGAGCTCCTCATCAACCTCCTTCTCCTCAACGGTGGCTTCTTCAGAATATTCATTAACTTTCTCACATGTAATTACCTTTCTTTTCTTCCAACACATATACGTACATCTTACTTCTTCTTTTTTAACACTTTGCTTCTATATACATACCTCACTCAAAATCCAATCCAACATAATCATAAGAAAAATATTTTAAAAAATCATTCATTTCGTATCCAATCTCATAAATTAATCGATTAATATATATATAATAAAAAAAACAGGTAACCTGGTGATCCCGAAACGTGATGCACCAAATTATTTGTCTTGTATTGGAAATTTGGACGTGCGAGTAAAGTTGGATGCTATCAAGCGCGAAGACAGCAGGTACTATGCTTCAATAGCTATGATGGCTTCAAAAGTATCCTATGAGAATGCAGCTTACCTTAAAGATCTAATTACAAATCAATGGAAGGTAGAATTCAAAAACTAACTTATTTTGTCTTCACCTTTCACTCTTCTCTCAGTTTAATCAATTTCTTTCCATTATGCCTCCCTAATTAGTTTTGTTTTCACACCTGTGTCCTCTTACAGATGCAATTCGTGGGATTTTATGACTGCTGGAATGGTGAGATTTAAAAATAACCAACCTATCTGCACGTGTTCATATATAAATTATAAGTTCCTAAGGTTCGGTGAATAGTTGAAAGTGTTAAAAATGTTAACCGTATGTTATTATTAGTCAAAGTGAAAGTGTATTCTCTCTAATACAGACAAATTTTAGTGCGAGAAAGATACCCAATATTATGAGAAATAAGTTCAATTATACTTTTTATATTTATATTTTATAATTTTTGCAAATTGAGCAGCTCAAATTTTAAATTTACATATTTTATAATTAAAATTATAAAAACTTTATAATTTTTTTATATTTTAATAATTAGTTTTAACATTATTAATGATTATTGATGTGATATATTAATTATTGATATAAACTAATAATATGACATATGAGTATGTTAACATATTAATTAAGTCGATTATTAATTAATATTGTCACATCACCAACTAACATAATAATAAAATGTATCAGTAGGTTTAGATTTTTTTTTTTATATAAAATATGCAAATTAAAAAATTTAGATAATAAAATTGTAAAAGTTAAAGAAAAAAGTTTTTAAAGTTAAAAAGACCTGAAATACATTTTACTCTTGATTGAACGATGATGAATATTAATTTTGGTTTTGAACCTGATGCACATGGCAGATTTTCAAGAAAAGGCGACGACTCAACTCTTGGTTCTCTTGGACAAGCATGAGGAGCGCGACACTTACGTGGTGGCTTTCCGAGGAACGGAACCCTTTGATGCAGATGCATGGTGCACTGACCTTGACATCATCATCATAGGCAACTAATAGGGTTATTTTATGGTATTTGTCTAAGGAGATATTTTATGAGAGTTATTTTTATAAAATTATTACACACAACTCCACAATGATGAAATATTGTCCACTTGATTAATATATATATAATAAAAAAAACAGGTAACCTGGTGATCCCGAAACGTGATGCACCAAATTATTTGTCTTGTATTGGAAATTTGGACGTGCGAGTAAAGTTGGATGCTATCAAGCGCGAAGACAGCAGGTACTATGCTTCAATAGCTATGATGGCTTCAAAAGTATCCTATGAGAATGCAGCTTACCTTAAAGATCTAATTACAAATCAATGGAAGGTAGAATTCAAAAACTAACTTATTTTGTCTTCACCTTTCACTCTTCTCTCAGTTTAATCAATTTCTTTCCATTATGCCTCCCTAATTAGTTTTGTTTTCACACCTGTGTCCTCTTACAGATGCAATTCGTGGGATTTTATGACTGCTGGAATGGTGAGATTTAAAAATAACCAACCTATCTGCACGTGTTCATATATAAATTATAAGTTCCTAAGGTTCGGTGAATAGTTGAAAGTGTTAAAAATGTTAACCGTATGTTATTATTAGTCAAAGTGAAAGTGTATTCTCTCTAATACAGACAAATTTTAGTGCGAGAAAGATACCCAATATTATGAGAAATAAGTTCAATTATACTTTTTATATTTATATTTTATAATTTTTGCAAATTGAGCAGCTCAAATTTTAAATTTACATATTTTATAATTAAAATTATAAAAACTTTATAATTTTTTTTATTTTAATAATTAGTTTTAACATTATTAATGATTATTGATGTGATATATTAATTATTGATATAAACTAATAATATGACATATGTGTAACATATTAATTAAGTCGATTATTAATTAATATTGTCATATCACCATTTAACATAATAATAAAATGTATCAGTAGGTTTAGATTTTTTTTATATAAAATATGCAAATTAAAATATTTAGATAATAAAATTGTAAAAGTTAAAGAAAAAAGTTTTTAAAGTTAAAAAGACCTGAAATACATTTTACTCTTGATTGAACGATGATGAATATTAATTTTGGTTTTGAACCTGATGCACATGGCAGATTTTCAAGAAAAGGCGATGACTCAACTCTTGGTTCTCTTGGACAAGCATGAGGAGCGCGACACTTACGTGGTGGCTTTCCGAGGAACGGAACCCTTTGATGCAGATGCATGGTGCACTGACCTTGACATCTCGTGGTATGGGATTCCCGGCATTGGAAAAATGCATGGTGGCTTTATGAAAGCCTTAGGGCTACAAAGGAATGTGGGGTGGCCTAAGGAGATTCAGTGGGACGAAAGTGTTCCCCCCTTAGCCTACTACGTTGTTAGGGACATTTTAAGGAAAGGTTTGAGCGAAAATCCGAATGCAAAGTTTATACTTACGGGTCATAGTTTGGGTGGAGCACTCGCAATCCTCTATCCCACCATCATGTTCTTGCATGATGACAAGTTGCTGATTGAGAGGTTGGAAGGAATCTACACGTTTGGACAACCAAGAGTTGGAGATGAAGCATATGCAGAGTTCATGAGACAAAAACTGAGGGAAAATTCTATCATGTATTGCAGGTTTGTTTATTGCAACGACATAGTTCCGAGGTTGCCCTACGACGATAAGGGCTTGCTCTTCAAGCACTTCGGGGTCTGTCTTTTCTTTAACAGGCGTTATGAACTCAGGGTACGTGTGAAGTGGATTAATTTCACTCCATAATAATATATAAAATATATGTTGAAAAGAATATAAACTATATTTGTGCTGAATAATATATAAGTTGGTTTACTTATTATTTAATTTAATTTTGTTACAGGTTCTGGATGAAGAGCCCAATAAAAACTATTTCTCGCCATGGAGCGTGATACCCATGATGTTCAATGCTATTTTGGAAATAATAAGGAGCTTTACGATTGCGTACATAAATGGACCTCTCTATAGAGAAGGATGGTTTCTGTTCGGTTTCAGGTTGTTTGGTTTACTTATTCCTGGCATACCTGCTCATGGTCCCCAAGATTATATTAATTCCACTCTTCTGGGATCAATTGAAAAACATTTTAAAGCAGATTGATGAGTTCGTGTGAGTTATTTCATAGTAGTAATAAGCTTGCTAGCTTTAGGTTAATTTGGTGCATGGAGTTATCATAATTAATGAGATCAGTGTGCAGCTGTTTATTTTATTATGTCTCGAAACGACCAAAATTGCTAAATAATTAATATTACTCTATATTTGGATCTTTCTTATCTTTCGGATTTTTCATGCCCCTTTTTCTGTTTGTTGTAGAGTGTGTTTGGCTGCACATACTATAAATTTTGTAAGTTTATTTTACCGGCTTAAAAGTAAGTGTAATTAAAATAAATTTGTTTGGAAATTGGTATGAGTGTATACAAACTTATTTTAAAGTTTTATAATTTATTTTTATAAATTAATTAAAGTAGTTTATAATTTGTGTATTAGTTTTTTTCTCTTTCCTTTTTTTTATCTTTATTAATTTACTTTAAATCACTTTTATCATTTTAATTTTAGAAATCATTTTATCTAGATATCAATTATTCTCTCACTCTTATTATTGAATTTTTTTGTGAAGATAGGAAATATTATAAAGATGACCGTAATGAAAATTGAACCTAGGTCCTCATGCTTCTAACTACTCGACCTCTCCTCTCGCCACCACTAGGCTAACCTAGTAGTTTCACTCTTATTATTGAATAAATTAACATGTCATTTTATATAAATATGTAAGTTTATTAATTAATTTTATTATATACTTTTAATTTAATCAGTTAACTTGTAAGTTTTTAATTTTTCAATTCCTAATTTATAATTTATAAATTTTAAGTTAACTTATAAGTTAATATTACCGAGCACATGCAATTTGGCAAGGAGAAAATCATATTTTGACACAACGTTTTGGATCTTGATTGCAATAATCAACGCGAGTTTGTATAGCTTAAGTTTTTTTAAAAAAATATTTTTTAAAGTTAATATTAAAAATAAGTTGAAAATTTGATTTTTACAATAAATATTCTTATTTTCATAAATAAAATGCAATTAAAAGGAGTTTTCCTAATAAATTAAAAGTTAATTAATTACACTCTCTTATAATATATATAATCAATAATTTTTGTTACCTAATTCTTAATTCTACAATTTTAATTTTAATTTTTTAAAATCTGTAATTTTAGTTCTTTTAAAGTCTCGCCAATTAATTATTAAAATTGTAACATTAAATAATATCGGATATTGATTAAACGATATGACAATTAATAGTTTATAATATATAGGTTTAATTGTAATTTTAATTTTTTATTTTTAACTCATTTTTCATCTCATTTTACTATTTTTATAAGATAAAAATATGAAATTAAAAGTGAAATTTATTATAAATATTTGTAAATATTAATTGACATGTCATTTATTTAATTAAAATTTGATTAATATTATAATTTTAATAATTAATAAATAAATATTACAATGAGAAAATCAAGTTGCATATTTTATAAAATAAAAAATTAAAAAATAGAGACTAAAATTATAGATTGCATATAACAATTCTTTTTACAATTAAAAAGTACAATTTAGTTATAGAGACTAAATTAAAAAGTATTTAATTTTTTCTTATCACACATTATATGTTAATTTTAATTTATTGTAAATATTTATTTTTAGAATGAAAATATTAATTATTTTCTAAAAATACTTTAATTTATTGATATTTTATTTAAATATTTAACTATATTTTAATTTTTCAAATAGGATTTTTTTGTCAATTTTTGATTGTAGTAATTTATATAATTAATAATTGGTTAAATATTTTCCCTATAAATTAATTTTCTTTTTGTATTTCAGTCTTTGTAAATTTAGTTTTGTTCTATATATTTATAATATTCAATCCTTCCGTACTTTTCGAATAAGTGACAATACTACAATAGCAAAAACGCTTATGTATTAATGTCAAATAGAGTTAGATATACTTTTTTGTAACAAAAAATAGTAAGAAGAGAATAAGATCTTAAAGATTTAAACATCGTATATCATAAATATTTTGTTACAAGGACAAGGTAGTATAGTTTTAAAGATTTTTTTTCTTCACCACCAAGAAAGAAAAAGTTATCAATGTCATAATAATAGTTTAAAAAAAATGTTAACTAAGCTAAACCCGGTCCACGGGTTCGGCCAAGCCCAATTGAAAGATGCGAAGTGGGCATGTTAATGATTATGATGGCCCGCTAAATGTGAAAGGAGAGGCGGCAGGAGCGAGCGAGCGAGCGAGAGAGAGGAAGAGAGATAGGGAGAGCGAGCGAGATCTTCGATTTAGGGTTTTCAATTTCGTATTCTACAAGGTCAGTGAGCGCCTAATTCACCGAATTTCTTTCAATTTTTAATCAATTTTGTGTTGTGTTAGAGTAGAACTCCAACCCCCAAAGCTGATTTTCATTTGGTATATGATGATGATGATGATGATGATGATGACGACGATAATTGTGTGTGAGAAAGAAGTGTGCTTGTTATGTGCAGGCGACGAGTGTGAGATTTTTAGGGAGAGAGAGGTGAGGACGCTGAGTGCTCTGCTGAGAGATTCCATTACCCCCAGAAGAGGAGGAGAAGGAGGCGGATACATTTTTTTTTCTTCATCTTTTTATTTTCGTTCTCAGAGCGGTGGATAGGGATTTTCGCCTCTGCAGCGTTTCATTCCCTTTCATTGCGTTTTGTTGAAGTTTACGATGGAGCAGCGAAAGCTTGTGGTTAGTTATGCATATTCAATTTGTTTATCTTTATTCCCTTGTTCATACGTTTTGTTGTCCATTGCATTATTCTTAATTTTAACATCGCTTGGTTTTGTTTTTCGTTGCTAAGCTGCAGTACGTTTTTGTTCTTTTTGGGTAGTAATAATTCTTGTTCATAAAATTGCACCTTAGGTTTTGGGCATTCCGTGGGATGTCGATACGGAGGGATTAAGAGAGTATATGAGCAAGTTTGGTGAGCTTGAAGATTGCATTGTCATGAAGGTTAGCTGTTGCTTTCCATATTTCTGTTCTGCGTTGCCATGGTCTATTGATATTTGTCTACCATTTCAATAACAAATGTAATAATTATGTATTTATTTTTTATATGTATTATGTAAGTTTCAATTATCCGATTGTAATTTTGCTTACTCCTTTCTGTACTCCTATTTGCATTGAATTTAATTAGAAGTATTTGCCACTTGTAATTGTTCAAGAAGAGAAATTAAGAAGGGCAAAGGGTGAGTTCCTTATGCTCTTGAAGATGTTTATGTTGGTCCAACAGCCATGTACTTAAGCTCAAAGATTCAGTAATATTAATCCATTTATTTAGAGAGAACATCCATTTTGGTCCTTCATACAACCATTTTAGTTTTCTGATAATAAATACTAAGATACATCAAAGTGTTCCTTGAATGTCAAAATTTGATATCAAACAAAGGGTTTTGGTCACTTATTCCTTCTTGTTCCCCTCATTGCCTCATATCAAGGAATGCCCTGTAGGCCTGCACAATCTTTATAACTCATTATTCATGGCTTATTTATCCCAAGATTGGAGAGGGAAGTAACATGCCTGTTCTTGGTGCCACAAGCACAGAATAGAAGAATTATCAAGCTGATTAGATTTTATGGCTGGTTATGTTTTATGACTACTGGTGAAAGTGAAATATAATTGTCTTGTACAGGGTCAAGTTAGATTGTCCCTTTACTATTAAGTTTCCCGGAGGCACATTTTAATCCACATTATTTATTTTAGGAGCGGTCAACTGGACGGTCTCGTGGTTTTGGATATGTCACATTTGCTTCTGTGGATGATGCTAAGGTAATTGCTTATAGTTGGATGAAGATTAGTTCCTCTCATCTCATGCCCTCATTTGATAATACACCCCCATATCATATCTACATGCTATATCATGATTTGGATGACTTTCTGGCTGCAGGAAGTATTATCAAGTGAACATATTCTTGGTAATAGGACGCTGGAAGTCAAAGTAGCCACACCAAAGGTTATAACCAAATTTTTGTTTGAAACTGAAATCCGATCTGCTTCATGGCTGGTTTACTTTTTGTTACAGAATATAATATACCCATTTACTATGACTGTACTACTGATTATTGTAATGCTTTCATATTAAAGGAGGAAATGAGGGCACCAGTCAAAAAAGTTACTAGAATATTTGTAGCCAGGATTCCACAATCAGTAACAGAAGCTACTTTTCGAAGGTATGACTTATGAGTATGTAATATCTTCATTATAATAATCCACATCAATGAGTGTTTTTTAAAGTAATATTTTCTTATACCAAATATGTATGATGGTCTCACGACCTTTCTTATTTTTTTCTTTTCTTGCAGTCATTTTGAGAAATATGGTGATATAACAGATTTGTACATGCCAAAGGTACTTTCCTCCCTATGATTGTTATGCAAAATTTAAATGCAGTTTGTATGCACACAGTTGAATTCATATTTATAGTTGTACAAATGAACTGAAGACTTATGCATGCTATACTATTCTATTAATTATGAGTAATTTACCATTTTCACAACAGGATCAAGGGTCCAAAATGCATCGTGGAATTGGTTTCATTACTTTTGCAAGTGCAGGTAGGCCATCTATGTAGCCTTTGTGCTCTAATATTAGGTTTCTGCATGTCTTAAAGTGTGTGGGATTTATCATGTTATGTTTCATTAAATTTATCTACTTCTGTAGTCATTTGGGATATTGGTCATCACTTGGAAAAGTGAAATTTTGATTGTACCTGCTACTTGCACTATTTTGATTCACTTTTTTTTGGTTCCTGGACTTCTTAAATTTATTTTTGGAAAGGATGTCTCAATCACTGTAAGGATGATGTTATTATCTCTTTCAGATTCTGTGGAGAATTTGATGTCAGAAACCCATGAACTGGGAGGTTCTGCTGTGGTGGTTGATCGAGCTACACCCAAGGTAAGGGTTTTATAGCTTGTCATTTTACTGAAGAATAGTTTCTGGAAATTGCAGAGTAATACGTCATGTGCAGCCAAGACTTTTTTTAATCAAATTAACTAAATCATATTAGTAATTACTACACTAGTCCAATGTTTAATGATTAAAGGATATTTGGTTATTTATATTTCTCCATATCCTTTTAATGAAATATGATTGTATATTCCTTTTTTCAGGATGATGACTTTAAGCCAATTGGCAGAATGCCACAAGGAGGAGGATATGGTGCATACAATGCTTATATTTCTGCAGCCACTAGATATGCAGCACTTGGTGCTCCTACTTTGTATGACCATCCTGGCCCAATTTATGGACGTAAGCATGCAAGCACCATTGTTCAATTAAAATGATTTATGTTTCTCCATACTGACTACCCTATCTGTGAATTAGGGGGAGAGCCCGCTCGGAGAACTAGTAAAAAGATTTTTGTTGGCCGTCTTCCCCCAGAGGCAACTGCTGAGGATCTTCGCCAATATTTTGGAAGATTTGGCCGGATATTAGATGTTTATGTTCCAAGGGTAAGATATTAAAAAATGTATATACAAGTGTTGAGAAAGCTGGCTAACCTGACTATTTTTTTGGGTAGGATCCGAAGAGAACAGGTCATAGAGGTTTTGGATTTGTTACTTTTGCTGAAGATGGTGTAGCAGATCGTGTCTCTCGAAGGTCTCATGAGATTTGTGGACATCAGGTACTTTAATTTGAATTTGCTGCCCCTACTTTCATCTGTTTGTCCATTTTTCTGTAATTGAAATTTAGATGTATAGATGTGGTGGTGGAAGGGGATACGTGTAAGGTACTACTAGGTGGAGATTAACTCCCTCTTCATTATTATGCCCATTCCTGGTTCGAGCATGTTATTATTCAAATAGCGGGCTAGATTCTAGCAGCTTAACGAGTTGGTTTTTTCAAGTCAGGAGAGAATGAGTCATTAGAACTTTAGAAGTGTGGATTTGTGCTTCTGTTATTACTTACAGAGATCTGTGTGATATTACATAATTGTCCAAAGTAATTACGTTACACTATATCTTACTGGGTAGACCTATATAATTCATCATGTAAAGTTTGATTGCCTTATGACATGTCACCATCATGCTGTGAATTTCAAGATGATCTGATTAATTTTTTAGGGTTTATTTCTATATATCTTTGGTTTTAATATGATTTGATTAATTAGCAGCTTGCACCTGCAGGTAGCAATAGATTCGGCTACGCCTGTTGATGATGCAGGGCCCAGTGGGAATTTTATGATGAACAGTATGGAATCTTTTGGGGGATATGGTGGTCCTGTGCGATCTTATGGGAGGATGTATGGTAGCTTAGACTTTGACGATGTGAGTATATACATACTATACCAATGATTTTATGACCAATAGAACGGAAATGAAAATTTGGACAATTTATCAAGAATTTGACCATATATCAGTGTAAAAACATCGTTAATCGGTGGTTGTACACTTGTACTGGTGCTTCTAGCATGTAAACACCTGCACAGAAACTTTTAAGCATCCAGTTTCATTTTTTCAGATTTTGATTATTAATTATTTTATTTTGCAGTGGGGTTACGGAATTGGGAGACCATCAAGAGCAGATTGGAGGTATAGACCATACTAGTAGGACAGTTTATTGGTGCCAGCCAACTGTGGTGCTGTTCTTTAATTATGATTGTTCAAAGTTTAAGAACTATGGCTTGGATTTTACTTCATCTATCATAAACCAGAAATACTTTTTCTTTGAACATATTGATATCTCGTATCCATTTGTACTAGTGCAATGATGGAAATATTATATATTCTAGAATGATAATGTTACGAATTGTTCCTTATGTATTATCAGTGGAAGTGGTGATGGTGATGTATGATCCAGAATAACTTGGTTATTATGTTCCCAACATTTTATATTAGCGAATGAACCTGGCTACGCTTTTTAAGTCATCTTTTTGTGGTCTAGCCTGTTATATGTACATGGCGTAAAAAATGCTCCAACTGAATATTTTATTAGCATTCAGCTGCACTGCAGCATGTTTGAACCGCGTCAAGCTAGATGCTACAAATAGGGCTTTTGCAGTTTTCTTCTGTTTCGTCGTGAAATTAAAGAAAAAGGGACGTTGGAAACGTGTTTAAAGTTCTGTTTGGATAATTTTTTTTATATGCACTTATAAAAGATAAAAAAAATTAAGTAACTTAAAATTAGTTTATGTTTAACTTAAAAATTATGTTTGGAGAAGATAATATAAGGTTTTTACAATATAGCTTTATGTACAAGTTGATCTTTGTAAAAGAAATGATAAATCTGTTTTTTCTCCTTGTAAGTGATTATGAAAAAGTGCATCCAAATGGAGTTTAAATAGTAAATACACGCGAATATTGTAACCGAGTCTTTTTTATTACACCTTGGAAACGCTTGTCTATCTGATGTATTGGCGTCTATTTTAAATGATCTTGCCTTCAGTTATAAACTTGTTGACGAGTTTGTCGATGTGATATAAAATTGAATAAAAAGATGTGCATTTTTTGTTTGTTTGAAAGATGAAAATTTTGAATATTATTTACAATGCAAATTTGTTGACGGTGGTCATGAATACGCTCGGATATTTAAAGCACCCGCAACTAGACTAGTGTAATACCGAATCAGTAGCAGCATGGATTAGTACTTGTATCAGTGGTGACTAATTAAAGAAAGGTACGCATCCGGAAATCAATCCGATTGGGTATATAAATAACAAATCTTGGATCAGGGAATGCTCTAAAATGCCAAACATATCAAAAGGCACTAAGACAATGTAGTTGTAGTAGTAATTGACTATTAACATGTAGAGAAGGCCAAACAAAAATGGCCTATGACTTGAGATATGATTGATTATTCTTGTGTGTATGAGATTGATCATAGAGCATGACTGCCGAAGCAGCTCCTTGGTGATAATATTTGGGCATATTTGTGTAATGAAAATACTTTCCCTGTCTTGGAAACCTCCTCATCCTGTTGTACACTTATTCGGTTTCTCATCTTTTCAGCCTTCATCTGCGCCCTTCTCAGCTTCTTTAGAATCTTATCCACTGATGATGATTTCTTCTTTTCCAATTTCATCTGTCAAACACTTCCATTATCAGCAAATATAAGTGAAAAAAAGCCACGGCTATATTTATTCCATACACCGTGAATAATAGTTGGAGTTTTTTTTTTTTGTATGCAGCATGACATGACAACAATTTTACTGATTAGGAATGAAGCCTCTGTTAATGAATGCAGTAATATCTTGCTTACGAATTTGAGTTGGAATGGGGCCACACATCATACAAGAAAGTTCAATATACAAGTTATGATGATTTAAAAGACCTCTAGTTTTCGTATAGCAGCTTCAGCCTTGGCTTTCTGCAAACTCTCCCATGCAACGATTTTGGCTTCCTCTCTCTGAGACCTGCGCCAAAATAAAACAATGACAACATCATATCCCTTTAACTCACGTAATGAATGCAATGTCTTCTTGAAAATAATGAGAGGCGTGGCAGTGGATTTCAGGATTCATTTGCATAGTTGCATCTTCCAAATTCATTTTATATCATGGCATTGGCAACCTCGTTGGACCAAAAAAGAAGAGAAAAAGAAAAAGATGGTATCTAGTCACAGAACATACTTGGAACTGTCCAACGTTGAGTCTGCAATACCCAAACCTGAAGCTTGGGCTTCCTTACTACTTTTCCTCAAGTCTTTACCATTTAGCAAGCTCAGCTTGGGTACATAGCTCTTACTCTTAGACCACCTAATAATAGTAGCCTCACTGTCTACTTCCACATCTCTGACCACTAACTTGGCTGAAACGCTATTTTGTCGATCCATGATCGAAGAGGGTGAGGATTTTGGTGCATCATTCTCACTCTCAGTAGAGTTCATTTGAGTGCCTTTATCACATTTCGAGAGAGGAGATGTCGCCGCGTCCTCATTCTTAGTTTCATCTCGTTTTTCATCTGCAAAGGAAAATAACTAATATTTTAAATATGTAGATGCTCACATGTCAACACATAGTTATACTATCAGGATCTCGGTAGGTAGAACTGCAGAAGCTATATGATTGTTTTGGTCATATTCAGCTTTCAACAATCTGTGTATTTGACACGCACCTTTCATTTATGAATGATTTCTAATCTTGTTTGGCTTTGAAATCTGAATATAGTACACTAGAGTTAAAAACTAGTCCCGTACACCGGGCTATTTATAGTGTAATCGATCAGTTTCCACCAACATTTATCCATTTTTTTTTGTCTAGACCACAATTATTCTCTACTGAAGGTAATCCTGTAAGACCACTATGACAGCATATGGCAGCATACTAGGACTCAAACTACACATACATCATCTAAAATAGAATATGCAATGTAATTTTCGTTAGGCTACCTCTGAAGAAGAAGTCCATACCTTGAGAATTAGGCGAAGATGGATCAGGATCACATAGCAGTTCTGACCACACGGGTGCACTTGACACTGATGAGAGAGCTACACTGTTGTCATTGAGCAAAGGACTAGAACATTGCATACTGCTGTCAAAGTCATAACGGGGACCAAAAACAGCGTCATGTGCATAATAATGATGAAGAGAAATAGCATCGGGTGCCAACACTCCTGTTGAAAAAGGGGAACCCATCATGAAGTTTTTCACTACCAAACCTTGGCGCAGCGGAATTGTAGGCGAGTAATTGGAGTAGAAGCCTGTTCCTGGAGGCACAATTGGACCACTTTTTGATTTGGGACGCCGCTGATGAAGCTGTGCATAGCAAGTTTTGGTGTTGGCATGGCCTGAAACGGGGCTACAAATCCACCTCTCAGCATCATCCCATTTTGAGGGCACTGTTCTTCCACTGTTGAAGGGTGTCAAGTTAGCCACACTACCATGCCTTGTGCTGCTACTTGATGCCTGCAACACCCTCTCTGAGCTCCACCCTTTTTGGTTCCCTATGCTTTTCTCTCTATTGTTTGGTGCCCCTGGACTAAGAAATGAACCAAGTTTCTGAGAGGAACTAGAACTCTTCTTCATTTGTCAGTTTATGTTGCCAAGCCTCTTGGGGAATCACTTTGGTACTTCAAATATGGAAAATCCTGTTTCTACTTTTACATGAGTTGTGTTGTGATGATCTGTGTTGTTGGAAAATATAGGTGCTGGAAAAGGCTAATCTTCAAGGCGTATATGAAGCACCGAAAAATCAAACCTCTTCGCCTAGTGGTTGCTCTGGGACATGGAAGTTGATATAATATTTCTAGGATCGATTTCCTTGGTATTAAAATAATACTGGACGCCAGAAGCTATCTCCTGTGAATGCTGTTAATTTTAGAATACTGTCGAAGGATTTAAAAAATAAAATATGAAGCACTGAGCTTTATGTTGGTAGTATCCAAAAATAGAACTTTAGTAGATTTTGACCACTCATTGCTCAATCACTTGGCATGGCTCAATCCGGGTGACATCAAAAGCAACAAGGGCATGAAGGGGACGAGTGATGTTGTGAGTTAACCTGTGAAAGCAAATGCTGAAATTAGAGAATTGAATGCCAGGCTACTAATGAATGCTGGCTTAGTTGCTAAGCATGACATCGTGTCATCAATCTTTGTCGAGAGGCAATGATGGACTGGTTTGAGTAACATTTTGTGCTTCTATCGGTATTGGAAGGATATGTACAACACATATGTGTGGGACAATTATAGGTTGAGACTTAACGCGTAAGTCCAACACCAATGAATGAAGCCATTCTGTTGAGATAAGAAACTTAGCATTGCGGTGGAATAATGAGTGCGATGGGTGTGATCTTACGAAGGAGAATAGGACGAGAACATGAGCTGTGAGACATTGTGCACTGTTGCATAAAACACATCCTTGCATTTGTCATGTGGTTTCCGTAAAATTTGTTTAACTCCTAACAGGCTCGCACGTGCTGTGGGCCTCAACCTAAGACAGTCCTAATAATAGTGTTTAGAGAATTTAAGTAATTATTTTATTAAAACATCTCTTTTTATTATTCTGAAGACAATCTTGTTTAAATAGATAAGGCACCAATATGAACATTGAGATTTAAACTTTAATTCATCACATTATGAGAACTAGAACCATCTTCTAATATTATTACAGCATTCTCATCATGTTCAATAAAAAAAACTTCTCTTTGTTAGTTCCTTATCTAATATTTAAGATACTGGTTAGTGCTTAAGAAATTCCTTTTGGAAAAAAAATCTTAACATTATAAAAATATTTTTAGTTCATAATAATTGATATGCACAATTTTCAACGACACCACGGCACCGGCCAGCCAGGTGTTTGTATTACAGAAATAACACGACAGGATTTAGGTTGAAACAAAAAAGAGGGAAAATATATTACTGTCTGATGACGTTTTTAGTCATCAAAACCATTCAATTATATAAGGTCTTATAATGAAAAGGAGGGTCATATCATATAGTTATTAGAAATATCTTCCTTTCGCAAATTAAAAGCAATATGAATTATGGTCAGCAGAAAGGTAGCATAAGACCACGTGCAAAAATTAGTAAGGAAGAGTCGACCCTATTTCTTGATTGTGCAAAAATTAACTTTGTTATCCGTGGTAAAGACAGTGATCCGCAAACACTTGAAAGAGAACGTGTAACTAAGCAAATCACGAAGTTTGGGGTTGCAGAAACCCTTCATTCCTTGATTATATTTTGGAAGGGAATGGGATGAGAATAATGAATTGTGGGTATATACATGGAGCTTCACCGACAACAATAGTTGAAGCAGGTTACTGTTTGTGGTGTTGTGACACATGATGAGTGAAACTTGTCATGTACTTGGTTCCACTGTGCAATTTACCCTGTTTGCGACAGAAACTTAACCTTTTGTGCCATATTGAGTGAATGAAAATGTCACCTGGCATGCACAAAGTCAAATATCTGTCCTGAATCAGAGGCAGAAGAAAATGTCATTTCACTCTTGTGAACTGAAATGGGTGAAACAACAAATAGTACTCTAGACATGGTTGTTCTACTCTATTACATGATCTGCATAAGGTAAATGAGAGAGTTGTATGTCATTTTTACATCCGAAATCCTGCAGATCCATTTTAATGTTACGAGCTGAGAGGCACTCCATACTTCAAATATTAATATATATGAATGATTGAGATGGGATAAACATTTCTTTTGCCTTATGTTTAGATACGTTGCTTTATTATCTCCTTTTTTTTTTTGGTAAAGAATGAAACATAAAACACTAGAAAGCTCAAGACACCGAGTCTCTTCCTAACTGTAACAGGATGAAATCAGGAGGACTCCTCCAGAATACAATGGAACTCGTGTTCCGCACCCCCCAATTGGCAAGCGTATGGGCTACTGAATTTATGTCACGAGGGATATGGCTAATGTAAACTACCCAGTCCCAGGCTAGCATGCACTGAATCCGGCGAATAACATCATAATGATTGTGCAAGTGGTCCCTTTCCGTTGACCTAGCTTGAAACAGCGAAACAGCTTCCAGACAATCACATTCACAACTCACCTTCCGAAACCCACTTGCCCAGCAAAGTGATAAGCCATCCTCCAAAGCCAACAGCTCAGCACGTAGCGCATCCCCAGTCGACGCTCCACGCGAGAAACCACCTCGCCACCTGCCTGTCCAATCGCGTATAACTCCACCCATCCCCATAGCAGAGATGTCACTCAAGCAACTCCCGTCCGTGTTAAGTTTGGCCCACGGATGCTCCGGAGGACTCCATAGGGGTTGCTCCAGCCACAAACCTCGTTTAGCATTAAACACCTCGTTCTCCACCGTAGACAGTGTCACCTTCCGCCGGACCGCCGAGATCGTCCAAAGCTCACCGTTGAACAACATGTGATTCCTAAACCGCCAGATCCACCACAAGGTGAAGGATAGGGTAATAGCCTCCTTGTGCAAAATGATCCCCTTCAGCCACTGAAAACAATCCCTTTCCAAGAAGGACCACCCCGTACTGACCCCGCCAGCCATCAGCACCTCTCGCGAGTACGGACAATCCCGCAGAGCATGCAAAATGGTTTCATGGGGGCAAGAACATCGCGAACAGGCGCCGGACTCAGAGAGCCTCTTGTCAGCCCGTACCTGGTTCGTTGGAAGGGCTGAATGCAGACACTGCCAAAGGAAGAACTTCACCTTCTCTGGAATCATTAGCTTCCAGTGCCGCTTCCAAACTATATCCCCCTCTGTTGACAAACCCGGGGTCAGAAAACGACCTCCAGAGGCCGCTGTGTAACAACCCGCCTTATCACCCCTCCAACCAAAGTGGTCCACTCCCAAAGAGGAATTGACGACCCGCAACCGTTGGACTGAACTAGTCAGCTCTGCCGGAAGAGCAGTATACAAATTATCAAAATTCCAAACTCCACTAACCCAGCAGTCAGCGACCGTTTTGTTGATGTCCGCAACATGAACGTACGGGACTCTCCCGCACCAAAGCCCAGTACCTGACCAATCCGTGTACCAAAGGGAGGAGGCACCCGACCCTAGCTTTATTATCTCCTTTAAAATTATATATTCTCGTTACACAATAAATTTAATTATTTATTGTTACTCAGATTTCTAAACATAAGTTAATATTATTATTTAAGTCACATTTTTTTTAGTTGATATTATTATTTAAGTTATATTTTTTTAAAAAATTAATCTAATATTGACAAATTACACTTTCAATATTTGAATTTTTTTTTTCAAATACTATCGTAATAACATTATATACATTGAGGTGTGTTTAAAAACCATTTTATCCCTCCATTTTCCACTTTTCAATGCAAATTGTACCTATTCTTTCTCTCACATTTGATTGCCGTTTCATATGAAATCAACGCAACTTTAAATAATATTAATATAATATTTAATGTTATTAATACAATATTTTTAAATATATAAAAAATTATCTTAATAATATTATTTATTGCACTTACTAATATAATATACTATTTTAAAATAAAAATATGTTTTCTTTCTTAGATAGTCTTAATTGATGTATTTATTAAATATTATATATAATTAATTATGCTAATATTAAATATCCTATTTATTAATATTAATATATTTATTAAATTTAGCAAATATAATTACTATTTATTAATATATTACTTTTAATATTAACTAGTATATTATAAATTATTAATTTACAATAAATTTTATATAATAAAAAATTTATTTTTATTAATTTTATATTTTAAAGTGTATTTTATTTATGTTTTTTAAAGTATTGTTATGTGCATTTTATAATAATAGAAAAAGTTTATTATGTAACATTTGTGCCAAAAGTTGTTGGTGTTAAATTATTTTAATTATAATCAGATTAGTAATAAATAATAATTAAGATATTATTTAATTATAATTAATTGTCAATTATAATTAATATGAAATTTTAGTATACAAGTTTTATGATGAAAATGGCAGTTGGATTATTTACTATGGGTAACTTGTTGAGAGGTTTTTATCTGCTATTAGGTAATTATATATTGACTATCTTATTAAATTAATATAAACTTTGACTTAATTTCTTAGAAAGCAAGTAGAAAATTCTCAATTCAATATCATTTTTCTTCTAAAGTGATTCTAATGGACTCATGTCAATAATATGATATTTTCAATTATATATGTATATAATAATAATAATAAGATATGATTAAAAATTTTGAAAAATTACAAAAAATTGGTAGAAATTGACATAAGAGAACTTTAGATAGAGGGAGAAATAACAATTTACTTAAGATAGATGGAGTTTAAATATACTAAGTACATCTTTTAAAATTATTTCAAAAATTAAAGGAATATGACTCAATGATATAACATATATATTGCATTAAATTATTGAGTATAACGGTATAATATTCAAACACATTGTTTAAAGTTTTCTCAACAATTAAAGGAGTATGACTGTATAATGTCTAACATATATTATATTTAATTATTAAAATGTGTAATTAATTTTAAATTATAAATTATAAAATTAATATATATATATATATATATATATTGAAAATTATTAAACTTTAAATAGTGAAAAAAATTATTTGTATTAACTATCGTAAACTCTTCTTCTTTTATATATATTAGTGGAGTCGAGACACATTAAAATAAAATAAAAGGATTGAGATTAAATAATAAAATTGGTGGTTAACAATTTGAAGATTTGAGTTGTTATGGGTGTTTAATGATTTTAGTGATAATAATAAAAGTAACTTCCAATATTAATTTTTTATTATTCAAAGATTTAAAGGTAAAATCATCTAAAAATATGAAGACCAAAAACAGTTACAAACTAATGTATCCCTTGTACAAATAGATATAGATAAAGACAAAGCTTTATGTATATTATAGATATATTATTAAACTACTCTCTCCATCCCATAATGACTATATTTTAAGGTTTTTATTTTTTTACACACAGATTAAGAACAATAATTTTAATACATTTTTACTAAAATAATATCTCTCTCTCAATAAGAGCATTATTTTTAATAATGATGGTTGAATAATTAATGAAGGTACAATTAAAAACAATTAATATTATATAAAAAGTGAGAACATAATTAATTTTGAAATAATTTTTAAGTGCTAAAATTGTAGTTAATTTGGAACGAAATAATAATATACATAAAATACACAAAAAATTAATATAATATTTAATGCTTTTAATATAATATTTTTATAAATATGTTAATAAAAAATTTGTTTCCATCTATAATATTATCTGCATTTATTAAATATAATATAATATTCTCAGTAATAAAAAAATAGAGAAAAAAATATCTTCTTCATTTAGTAAATTATATCTAACTAATTTTGATAATACTATAAAATATTATAATTTTAGGGTTTACTAAATATAATATACATTTATTAAATATTTACTTTTTATATCAATCTTTATATATTCAAAACATATTATTAGAGTAAAATATTCAAAGACAGAAAATTAATATAGCATTTAATATTGTTAATAAAATACTTTATAAACATGAATAAGAATATTTGGATACATTGTTATAACTTTTTTTAAAAAATAAAGTGATTTTACTATATATTAATCTAAAAGATTGATTATAAAAAAAGTAAATGAAATATTTTAATAATAAAAATGTAAAATTGAAGTAATTAAATAAAAATTAAAAAATAATTGAGTAATAATTATATTAGATGTGATCAAACTAAATTCTTGAACCATTATTTAATTTCACTGGACATAGATAGTAGGTAATAGGACCAATTAGCTGTAATATTTTAATATGGAGGTGGTTTTGCATGTATCAAATCTTAGCAACCTGTATTTTTTAATTAAGTTATTTATTGTTTAAATTTTAGCAGCATGAAATAAAATATATTGAAAGAAAGAATATATTCTGATTTACGATGTTCGAAAGAGATTCATCATTATTTTTGATGTATGTAAGGATATTTAAAAAAATCAATTTAACGTGGGCGAGCTTATAGGATAGAGCCACCTGTACAACAATTAAGGTTGGAAAGACTAAATTCTGTATCATGCGAACCCAACGAATGGCCACTGAGTTCACTCACAGAGTGCCACTTGGCTTTGGCTTTTCCATCATTGGTGGCACAAAAAAGACAAAAACCAAACATTGTGTTCTTTCTCCAAAACCACCACCTTTGGGTTGTGAGTGCTTCCTTCCCTCCTTTTTATATTCATGCACATGCCTTCAACCCATCATCTAATCTTCCATTTATTCAATTGCCTTCTCTCGTTGACTTCGTCTTCACACCACAATGGCTTCTACCTTGTCTTACATCTCTTTCAATCCCTCAATGCCAGTTTTCTCAGGCACCCATTTCTCAGTTCCCATGTGCAAAGACCTTTCACTGGAAAATGTTTCACCTTTTGCCAGTTACGGAACCAGAAGAACCAAGTTTAGGAAGAAACTGGCGCTGGTCAAGGCTACGGTGGCAGAGGCAGCACCTGCTGCATGGAAAATTGTGGCTGAAAATGGTACCCCTCAGAAAAAGAAGCTTAGAGTGCTTGTGGCTGGTGGAGGGATTGGTGGGTTGGTTTTTGCTTTGGCTGCAAAGAGGAAAGGGTTTGAGGTGGTGGTGTTTGAGAGGGACTTGAGTGCTATAAGAGGGGAGGGGCAGTACAGGGGTCCAATTCAGATACAAAGCAATGCTTTGGCTGCTTGGGAAGCCATAGATTTGGAGGTTGCTGATGAAGTTATGAGAGTCGGTTGTATCACGGGTGATAGGATCAATGGCCTTGTGGATGGGATTTCTGGCTCTTGGTAAATTTTAATTTCGAACTTGTACCATATCTTTGATTTAAGTTTTTAGCTGTCCTTCTTAGTGTTTTTTCGTTTGTTTTGATATATGGGAATTGAAGCTGGTATCAAAGAGTTTACAACACTTGCATACTGTTCAATCAACTGAGCTACTTAGTATATGATTCATGGATTTGAGTACCACTAGACCATAAAAAAAGCAAATTATTTAGATTCAAACTTTCAATTTACTACTGTGTTGTGTGTTCTTCCAAACTATAGTGTAGCTATTTTAGCTACTTTAGGGACAGTGATATATTAGATTTGGCATCTCGTTTGATATCTGTTTGCCAATATTGAGTTGTGTGATATTGCCCTCTTGTTTGGTGAAAAAAAATGAGTAGAACAAAAAACTTTGAAATTTAGCTGCAGCAAATAAATGGTTGGCAAATTAAGAGGTACTGATGCAATGTAAAGTCTGATGCTTGACTATCTGGCTTATTCAGAGGTGCCAATGCAACGCAAATTGTCGTAATTATGCCAGTGATTGTAGTAAAAAACTTTTACTAACAGCATGTTTGCCAGTGAGATTGATCAAAATCTTTGGAGTCTTTATACATGATACTCTAGCACTACAAACCATTGGATATGTCTGGGTTAACATGAACTTTCTGTTTCATTTGCCACAAATTTCACGAGAAAAATTTGTTCAGCACTGTTTGAGATAATTCAGGATTTGGTGTAGTTGTGACAACCTATGAGAAGTGCAGGGCAGTTTGTAAGCTCCATGCAAGAACTAAAGTAATTGCTGCAAAAAATTTTAAATGATACAGAAACTCACCCGATGAGTACATCCCTTATTTATAACATTGTAATATCATTAAGCGTGTAACAATAGGATAAAGTGGGTTCCAGAATATATATATATGCACAGGGTTGTACTTTTACTGTAAACTAGTATTTCTTTCTGAAACAAGAAACTTGCTTCCTTAATATTTTATATAAATTGTAGTTATTTTTTTTATGGTTTACTTTATGAAATTTTAACATGTACTATTCCTACCATGAATTGATATATAGTTTGGTATTAGGTACATCAAGTTTGATACATTCACTCCTGCAGCAGAGCGTGGGCTTCCAGTCACTAGAGTTATTAGTCGAATGGCTTTACAAGAAATCCTTGCTCGTGCAGTTGGGGAAGACATCATTATGAATGGCAGTAATGTTGTTAATTTTGTTGATCATGGAAACAAGGTAATTAAAGAGAGCTTTTAAGTTGAAGATACTCATCATATTGCTATCATAGGTATTTTTTGGAGCTTTGCTTTCTTTCTTCAAGAAAATGCAATGGCAGACACTAATGTGAGTAAATATTGTTTGGTTTGTCATTTGTATCATCCCACATTTCATAATTGCAGGTAACAGTGGAGCTGGAGAATGGTCAGAAATACGAAGGAGATCTCTTGGTTGGAGCAGATGGGATCTGGTCCAAGGTCTTATTAAATTATCTTTGACTCCAAGCTTTTTTTTTTTTTTTTTGCAAACCATTTTCCCCTTGATGAAATGAGTGTTTTCTTAATGAGTACAGTGGAGTGCATCACTGGAATTTCAAAGTTGCTTATGCTAGAATTAGTATCCTTCTAGAAAAAAGTTGTTTATATTATGTTTGATGTGTGTGTGCATGTGAATTTGTTTTTCAGCTTTGTTCTTCCAATTAGAACCCCAGAAGTGCTGAGCTCTTTATGTCATTCTGTTAGTAGAGAGTCTTTATGGTCATAAATCACATACCACTTATTAACATAATCTTAAATGGTTTTATTCTGTGAATAGGTGAGGAATAAGTTATTTGGTCAAACAGAAGCTACTTACTCTGGCTATACTTGTTACACTGGTATTGCAGATTTTGTGCCTGCTGACATTGAGTCTGTTGGGTAAGTTGGCTGTGATTCATGCCTTGTATGCCTACTTATACATATTTACTGGTCTTTTCTTTTGTTAGTCTTTTGTTAGCATGTTGAGAAGCTTACTTGAATTTCCCTGCTGGAAGGTACCGAGTATTCTTAGGACATAAACAATACTTTGTATCTTCAGATGTTGGTGCCGGAAAGATGCAATGGTATGCATTTCACAAAGAACCTGCTGGTGGTGCTGATATCCCCAATCGTAAGTGATCTTATGGTGTTTAAGATTTGACATTTGTCAGAGCACAGCCTTTGCAAATGTTAAATCTTGGTACTCCATTTATAAATTAGACATAATATTTGAATTTTTTTTGTCCAATAACTGATGCCGACTTTTAATGTATAGAAGATAAGGGAATTGATTAACAAGTTCCATATGTGGAAAGAAATTTCAACTATTGTGATACTAGCAAATCAATTAATAGGATTGACATTTGGGGCAAAGATAATTTGTGCGCAGATGATCACTGATTATCAACTGCACAAAGATAGTGAAGAATGTATGCTGTTATATGTTAAAAAGGGAAATGAAGGAAGAAAAAGCTGCTCATGAAATCATTGAGTCTAGAAAAGCATGCAGAAAAAAATAATTATATGTTAAGATTATCTAATGATTAAGATGCTCCTAAATGCCACTCAAGCACATTCTACTCTGGACTCTGTTTCTTATTTAGTTTTTGAATTTTGCTATTAGTATTATTATTATCTCTTCTCTTTTTATATATAAAAGAATGATTTGTAAGTTCCAACTGTAAAACTTGGGTATGAAAGATAACTAAAGCACACTATTAACTCATCAATTGAGTACTTGTTACAAGAGAAATAACAGAAACACCAGAATAATAACAGCTATAATTCAAAATAATAGCAACTGGATGAGGTATTTGTTGCGATCTAAACTCCTAAATAATAGAAACAAATAGAGACAAACTTATCCAAAAGCTAGCTTTAATATCATGTGGGTGAACAATGACATTAGGTATATGATGTTTGCGAGATTGAACATTGGTAGGTGGTCCAACATCAAGACTAGATGGGCTTTAATGTCATATTAGGAAGGGATCGGTTCTACTCACTCCCAAAAGCTAGCTCTCTAGTGTGTGAAGTTTCATAAGTATTATATGCATAATCTAGCAAATGTGCGACATCTTAGCAGTGCTTGATTTATAGCAGCTGCCACCGAAATATATTTCTCTTTAGCAGTAGAGTGCGCCACTACACTTCTCTGAATTCCAAGACAATGTACCTGAATTCAAAAGCATATAAACATCCAAAGATATAAGGGCTTTTCAGCAAGTACACCTTTTCTTCACTACCTTCCACAACATATCCTTCTGGTTTCTAATTAAAGATTTCCTACTCTAATGTACCATTTAAGAATGTATGGACTTTACATCAAGTTGATAGATCCTCCATCCTTACTAAGCTGCTTAAGTTATCAACACTGTAGCAGTATCTACTATCTAGTCATATTGTTAGAGTAGATGTTTGTGAAAAATCAACTCCATACTTAAACACAGGCATAGCCCATGGCCTCCAACCTTCCTCTAAGCTTGTTGATAGAGCAATTAGAATTTAATTTGGTTCTGAACTCCCACTTCAGTCCAGCTTTATGACTTGCCCTATCCACCTAATCCTATGTATGGTTATCCTCAATCATACTCAGTTTTTAATTGGTTGCTTCTCTCTATCAATCTAACTTAAAATTTTTACCACTTCCTCGAATCATGCTACCACAAGTATGGAAACACTACATCTTTCATAAAATCCAAAAACAATAGAGTGCTGCTCGTACTCATCATCAATGTTATCTTCCTCAATACCTTGTGCTGAGAAGATTTCCTCACTGCTTGTTAGATTAACCTTTGCCATCTTCCAATTCCATGTGGCTCTCTCTATAAATTCAGTGTCTCTACTAATGATCACCTTCTTAGTCAAAGGCTGCTAGAGTTTATTCCTCACTGAAGATGAGTAATAGGCAAAGAGTGGTTGTATTGTGCTATCTCTGGTCAAAATGATAGTTTCTTCTTGTTAATATGACCGAACACTTAACGTGACATTTTAGAGACAGATCCAAACAGATAAACCATCAGTTTTACCAGTTTCTCCGATTTTGACTGATTTGCCCAGTTCTTAACTAGTTTTTCTAGCATCCAGTTCCTCAGTTATATTGGAATGGTCACCAAACTAGTTCGCAGTTTTTCAGTTGAACTGGGTCTGGTTCGTATGGTCCCATTTTTAAGATTAGGACTAGCTCTTTCATCCCAAACTGAGTTGTTGCTAGCTTCTCCTCAGCCCATTTTTCAACTTCATCATTACCGACCTATGTCAATCTCAGAATTACCTATAATATAATAATCATACCATCCACATAGATAATAAGGACTAAAAGGAATTGGAGCTTGTCATCATGAATAAACTTTATGAAAAAGAAACTGAATGGGACATGATCACCTTGACTCAGTCTATACCCTGAGAATATCATAGCTTGGGTGAGGTGAACCTTCCAAACAATGCCTTTTTTAACATGCACACCTTATTCTTGGAGAACATCTAGTGAAGCTTTTGGTGGTATTTCTGATTGTGGGAATTGGGGAAGAACATTCAGTGGACTGATATCATACTTCACGTGCACCTAACTAGGTGAACTCACCATCAATGCATTCAATATTGTCAATTTATTGTGATTGAGTGAAGCCATTGGTGTAGGTCTCACTTCCACTGGATGTTCTTCCCCAATTCCGACACAGTACAAGTATCACCAAAAGTGTTGGGATACCTACAAGTCTCACATTAATAAAATAAGAGAAGAAATAACAGATGACCAAAAGTAAAATTATGAGGGTTTAGGTTCAAAGTGGACAATATCTCATCATTGTGGAGTTTAGGGCTTAGACTCAAAGTGAACACTTATAAAATATCCCCTCAGACAAATATTATAAAATAACCTTCTCAGTGGTATCAGAGCTACAAGGTTGGATTCAGTGACAACCCTCATAACTCATAACTAATAATGTGATATATAAAGACAGATTTCGCTGCATGAAAGGTTAGGTCTCTTCTTTGAGGAGAGAATTGTTGGGATACAAAGAAGTCTCACATCAATAAAATAAAAGAAAAAATAACAATTTATAAAATACAAGCATACTCCAATGGTCGAGGGGTCTTTGGGTGATGACCAAAAAGTAAAATTGTGAGGGCTTACGCCCAAAGCGGATAATATCTCATCACTGTAGAGTTGTGTGTGAAATAATCTTATAAAAATAATACTTATAAAATATCTCTTCAGATAAATATCATAAAATAACCTATCAAAAAGCTTCACTAGATATTTTCCAACAAATTTAAGTAGGTAATGGTACCTATACCTCTCGAATGCCACAGAGCAGAAGAAGAAAAACAAAAAATAAATCAGGCAAACCATGTGATTGCCAAATGCAACCATTAAAAATAGCAGGTGAACTGACTATTATCCGTGTGCTCAGCATACAAGCTCTAATCCCTTTTTATGGGCTAAACTTATTAAAGGAAATAAGAAAATCAAACATATTAAGGGAAATAGAGAAAGTAGGAAAGAAAAAATATATCCTAATAACAGTACAAATATTTTTAAATACAATAATTGTGGCACCGGAAATATAGAAATTGATGACTGTGAAAAGAAAAATAAAAAAGACGTATATCTTGATTTTTTCTTGATTGCCTATGAAAAATTATAACTTATCTAACTTTTGGATTCTTTTAACTTTTGAATTCTTTCTACATGACAGGAAAAAAGGAAAGGCTACTTAAGATATTTGAGGGTTGGTGTGATAACGTGATTGATTTGCTACTTGCCACAGATGAAGAGGCGATTCTTCGACGAGACATATATGATAGGATGCCATCATTTACATGGGGAAAGGGCCGTGTCACCTTGCTTGGTGATTCCATCCATGCCATGCAGCCAAATATGGGCCAAGGAGGATGCATGGCTATTGAGGTATATTTAATATATAATATATTCTTAGATATCTATTCTAAAACTATCATTTAATAAATGCTTGACAACTTACCTTGCACCATACCCAACAACTTAATGTACCAAAAAAAACAACTTACACTTGCCCTAACAACTTCATGAGACATATATAAGCATTTATATTCCTTTTATCCTTCCTTTTTTTTTTGTGTCTATTCTTCCCCTCAGTGAAATATGAATTTATCTTCTTCAGTTAACTTCAGCAATTTCATTCATATTCAGACCTAATTAATATTGTTGTCCAAGTTTTGTGGGCTTAGGTGAGACGTGAATGTACCTTTAGTCTTCATATAACTCCACTAACGGACATGCAGAACTAGCCCAAAAAAATGCATAAAATGAAAGTACTCCTTACTTGTAGAGGCAATGGACATCAACAAAGTCAAACTATCTATGGAACACTCAAATGATGTGGTGAAGAGCCCTTCTAACTAGCTTCTTTTTTCATTACAGGACGGTTATCAACTTGCACTGGAGTTGGACAATGCATGGCAACGAAGCATAAATTCAGGCTCTTCAATTGACATTGATTCTTCCTTAAAGAGGTAACCAAGCATTCACCTCTCAAACATGCCAATGAATGCTGAATTTGAATCTAAAGTTGCCTACCAGAATTTTGGAACTCAGAGGGAGGCAAAGCACTAAGAAATGTTCACATCAAATAATATGAAAATGGTTTACTTACTCATATGGCCTCTATACACGTTTTAGTTCCTATACATACACTTTTTAATTTCTTTTAGTCACAACAATTTTGGATGGCAAAGACTAAAATGGATTAAAAAGTGTTTGCATAGGAACCAAAACAAGTAGTTTTTAGGTGTGGGGATTAAAATGTAAAGTTTATGCAAGTATAAGGATCAAATGAGTAATTAATCAATTTAAACCTATAGAAATAGTAAAGTTGTGGACTTGATATGAACAGAATGATGCTTGCATATCTCAACCAATAGTCCAGTAATAAATAGTACGTTATAAGCAAATTGGGTGATTTGATTATAAATATTTTTTTGCCGACTCAGTACCTGTATCTTTCTTCCTTTCCAATGTTGCTTTCAGCTATGAGAAAGAGAGGAGATTACGAGTTGCCATTATTCATGGAATGGCTAGAATGGCAGCTTCAATGGCTTCCACCTACAGGGCATATCTGGGTGTTGGTCTTGGGCCATTAGAGGTAGGAACTTAAGTTTAAAAATGAGATACTGAATAATAAAGCGAAGGTGACACTTCAAATTGATATCCTCTCCATAAATTCATTGTTGTTTCATTTGCAGTTTTTGACCAAGTTTCGGATACCACATCCTGGAAGAGTGGGAGGAAGGTTTTTTATTGACAAGTTGATGCCTTCAATGTTGAACTGGGTCTTAGGTGGCAATAGGTAATGATGAAAACCCACATTTCTTTGCTATATAAATTTCATCATGAATTACTGATGTTGGAATACCTGGACGTATTCTTACTCCATTCCTCTCACCCAGCATGCATGATGCATGCTAGTATTCAAGCCAAATGGGTTACTTCTATAAAAGGAGAGGCAGAAGAAACTAACACTAATGAAAATTGAAAAAAATATATTTTGCTACCTTTTCATGGTGCTGACAAGAAATAGAAATATTTTAAACAATTGAACCTTTGGAAAATATTGCAATTTTACTTCCATCATTTACATGATAAATGGTTCTACATTGCAGCTCCAAACTTGAAGGCAGACCAGTATGTTGCAGGCTCTCAGACAAAGTATGTTGCTCAAGTACAGTTACTTCTGTACTTTGTTACTAAGAATAAATGATAGCTGGTCTTTTATTGGTCATGTCTGTTAGATTTTGTTGTGATCTGGATAGTGGTGTTTGATTATTTATGAAGGCGAACAACCAGCTGCAGAGATGGTTTGAAGACGATGATGCTCTTGAGCGTGCCATTAATGGAGAGTATGTCTTTGGCCCAATAGGTTATTGCATTTCGTGTAAATCAATCTCATAACTGTTGTGTCCATCCTTCTCTGATTTATAGGTGGATTTTATCACCATGTGGAGATGAAGCAGGTCCTTCAAAACCTATATGTCTAACTCAAGATGAGATGAAACCCTGCATAATCGGGTAAGCCTTCAGTTGCCAGTTGGGAAATCATTTTGAATTTTTTTTATATTCAATTTAATGTAAATCTTGGGCACCTGTCAGATTTTGAGTGTATTTAACGTTGAGATATAAATAATGTCTAATATCATTAGAACAAAAGGATAAATATAAGTTTATAAGACACTCATACTTCATTGGTATGAAACTTTTTAGGTGATGACTGATGTCAAAGTAAATTCATAAAGGTTTAAGTCAAAACACAACAAAGTTCATACTTTATCACCAATCAGTGTGCACTGTTCAAAATCATCACAAATTGTTTTCCTTTAGAATAATACATAAAAAAGTCCTTGAAATTACCAAAGTATCGTTGTAGTATATGAAATTATCAAATGACGATTATTTTGTTCCTTGACATCACAAAATGACGGTCACTTAGTTTCTAAAATCATTATCCCTCCATTACATAATGACTGCAATTTTAGTATTTGGAAAATGTTCAAAAATAAATGATGTTTTTACTTTTCAATGTAATTGTAATTTTTTTTTAAGTTGTCTCTTCATAAATTATTCAACCATCACAATTAAAAGTAATATATTTATTAAGAGAAAAGATTATTTTAGTAAAATTGTATTGAAAAGTGATATATTTATTGTTGTGTTTAATATATGCATAAAAACCTTAAATTGCAGTCATTGTGGAATGGATGAAATATTTATAAGGAATAAAATAATCAATGTTTGACAATTTCACGGACTAATATAAGATGTATTTTAATTTCAGAGATTAAATTAGGGACTGATTTAGTGTATTATTCCTTTTCTTTCACTTTCAACCGATGTTATGACATGTTATTGTGTTTGCAGGAGCACCCAGCAAAAAGATCACCCTGGCAGTTCAATTATAATTCCTTTACCCAAGGTAACTCGATTTATCATGCGTTGAATTAAACATGGCTTCACACAGCATAACGGTCTTCAACATCACTCAACAAACTTCCTATTTTAAAGGTTTCTCAAGTGCATGCTCGAATTAACTATAAGGATGGCGCCTTCTTCTTGACTGATTTGCGGAGTCAATATGGCACTTGGATCACTGAGTAAGTAAAAGAAATGTCAGGCTAATATTTTATTCTAAGTTTAAATTCCTCTAAATGTAGATCAAGTTATTTCCCATCATATTTTCAGCAATGAAAGAAGGAGGTACAGGGTACCTTCAAATTACCCTGCTCGCATTCGTCCATCTGATGTGATTGAGTTTGGTTCTGATAAGGTAATATAATAGACTATCATCCCTATAGAAAAAGTAACACATCTGGAATTTGGTTTTTGTAAAGGCACTTTAATTCATAGAACGGTTTAGAAATAAGCCATAGTACGTGTAATTGGAGACAATAGTGTGTACCTAAGTGTAGGACTAGGAGGGTCGTTGTCCTTGTATATAGTTGTACCACGTGTGACTCATAATCACATTCATGTAGCAGGACCCTTAGACATGCGTAATGGTCAATGATCATTGTAGGTGTTGGGTCAGGTTCAGGCCCATGTTTTTGAGGCCTGGATCTAACCAAGTCTGGAGAGAGGCTCTAAAGGAGCCTATTGGGCCTTGATTCACATTCTGGGTCTGGAACATGATTTTTTCTTTGTCATAAGTTTATATATTAATCTGACTCAGTAGGGATAGGAGTCAATTTATGTGATTGCAAAAGCATATTTTAATCTAAATAACATAAAGCATCAGTCAGTTCAGTACCTGCAAAAGCAATGTCACTGATGCATTCTTAGCTTGTGCAGAAATGTTTTTGTTTGTTTTTCCTATTCCCAAGGTTCATTATCATTTGATAAGTGTTACTCTCACACACCTAGTATCACTCATGATTTTTTAGAATAAAACTGTTTCTTTCATTTAATTTTTAATCAGTGCACAAATTTCAGTAGTTAAATACGTCAACTAAAATAAATTTTTATTAAGTAACATCTCCCAGCTCTATATCCAACATATAAATGGTCACAGTCTTCCATCCTGACATATACCTTTTATGTATTATCTAAATGTACTTGCTTGAAAATATGTGCTTCAAATGGTGTATTTTTATGGTGTCTAAGTATCGAAGTTATTTGCAGGCCTCATATCGGGTTAAGGTGACAAGATCTGCTACAATAGAATCTACAAAGGAAGGGACACATTTTTTTGGGAAAGTATGATTATGATTCTATTCAGTCACACTTTGTCTTGTAAGTTACAGAAAAGTTGTACAGCAAAAAAATGAGAGCCGTAGAGTCAACATCTGCCTTCTTCGAGTGCAGGGTATTATACAACAATGCCAATCATTTAGGATCATAACATTTTATACAAACTTCTGATTGTGATTTACAGAATACAATTGAACACTTACTGCTTATACATTCAAGAAAGGAAAATTGAATTTATGTCTCCAATCTCTTCTTTGTAACTTTACTTGTTTTGGACTGAGCCCCTTTTACTTGAAGGGCTTAGCCAAATTCATGACAGGTCTTTATATGGCTAGTTGATTGTACTTATAGCATGGATAGTGTTCATATGTTGCAATCTAAATTTGTTGGCAATGTTTTAGTTTCTTTCATCACGAGTTGACATGAGCAAGCGTTGTACATGATTCCCACATCTATACTTGACATACAAAAGGCAGACACTAGCATTTTATCATGAATGAGATGTCACTGTTTCTAGGATATACTTCATTGGATAAGGAATGTCATGGTATGATGGTTTCGTTTCATTTCACACACATGCACTATTTCCTGTATGAGAATAGGTATATATAGCAAAGTTTGAATGACCGGGTAAGGCTATTATTTTTAAATTTTAAGAGACTGTTAAGGGCAATTATTCAGCAAACATGGTCCAAGTTGCCCGGGGCAGACCTTATATCAAGTAACAATATTCTCTTCATATAATTTTACATTCTGTGAACAAATAACGTTTTTATTGCTCTCCATTGTCTCCAATTTAATTAATGGTCAAAAGTTTTGTATTTATTTTATCTAGAGCATCCTCCATGAATCATGATGTTTTCGGTTCTGTAATAGACATTCTCTGCTGCCTTTGGCTCTGTAACCAAACAAATATTGGGCATGTCAGGTGTTGAGCCTGCGATCCGTACTCACCTCTTTAGGTCTTTCTAATCATATAGGATAGGTTCCAGAAACATTTGTCCCTATGTGTCATTTCACATTTCTCTTCTCCTAAAATGAATTGGAAAATATAAATTACATTGGAAAAAAATGCAATCAAGTATCAATTTCTTTTTTTTTTTTTTTTGCCTTACCATGAGTATCTTTTATAGTATGGGAAAAGTACTCCTTCTCAGTAATTAATATAGGTAGTTAAGTTGGAACAATTTTATGCCAGATGATCCATGTTTTATAGTAATTAAATATCACTTATGTTTAGTAGACCTGTATAATTTGTAACGTGTGGAATTGGTGGTAAGGAGGCCTTCTGTTCAACGTTTATAGAATGATGATAAATAACGTAAAATAAATGAAAATATTTATAATGCAGAAAAAAAGTAAAGAATTGAATAGGCCCTCGATGGTTACAAAACAAAAGTACACATTCATGTGTTGATGATTTAATAATGGTCTGAGATTGATTTTGTGTGTTTTCAGAGTATGATGACATTGACAAAGCAGAAACCCAAATGCAAAGTGAGAGGTAGAAGGTGGATTAGTGCATGGGCCTGGTCCTACAATTAATAATGCACTACTAGTCTAGAAGTTAGACATGGCATGGTAAAAACACTTGCCATATAGCAAAGGACAATGTTGGAAGATTCGACAAGGTTGCCTTAATGTCAACGAGGACCCTCGTCACACTGCAAAATTTTCACGTTGTCCCCCTTTGCATGAACAAAATGGAAGTGAAGGATAAAAGTTGAAACTAGGAATGTGAGAGGGGATGAAGTGGTGGCCACTACCATCACCCTCTCTTCCAGACAAGATAACTTGGATTGAGGCTCACCACCACCACCGTCCACTGTCATCTCTCCATCACATCACTCCTTTTTACTCTTCAATTTCAAATATGCATTCATAAATAAGGCTAGGATTCAATGAGACTATGTGGAACCTACATAGGATCGCATGTGTGGGGGTTGTTCGAAGTGACTCAGACACATAAACGACGGAATAGCAAAGACCATACACATTAATCAAAATTGAAGGGACATGGGGCCACCTCAATAACAAATTAACAAGATTAATTCTAAATATTTTACAATATTTTCTTATTCTAAAATTATCTAGCAACTCTCTAAATCCAAAACACTCAACTACGTTATATACACATATATAGTTGTTATATATCAACATTTTAAAATATCGAGAAATAATTTTTAGAAATCTCAGAGGGATCTTTATTTTATTATTTGTGTATTGATCAACTTAGTCCACATTCCACTGAAGTCAACTTATAACTGACCCATCAAGAATCTTAGAGCTGTCAAAATAGGCTAGTCCGGTATATGTGGGCCGGCTCACCTTGACCCACTTTAAAAATGAGCCAACTCAACCCGGTCCACTTTTAATTTTCTCAAAATAAATTTGGTGTGGCCCGGCCCACCACGAGTTGGTGGGTTATACGGGTCAGCCTACCAGCCCACCAAAAATTTTAAAAAAAAATTATCAACAAAATTTAAAATTTAAAATTAATTATAAATTAATATAATAGTCATAAAATTAGCATCATTAATAGTCATAAGTCATAACTCATCATACAAAATTAAATACAAATCATGATAAAAGTTTAAAATAAAATTTTTTATTATCCCATCATACAAAATTAACTACAAATCATACTTAAATTTTTATTGTAAAAAAAAATGGTGGGTTGGTGGGCTACCCGGCCCACCACAGGTTTAACCCGGATGGACCGGGTCAAAGTGGGCCGGTTGAAATATACTCACTTATTATAAAATTCAATTTTTTTTAACCCAGCCCAGTTCGTTTTTAAGGTAGGCTGAATTGGCCCACAAGTCTCGACCTACTTTGACGGCTCTAACCAAGATCATAGTAAAATACTCTAATTTACTATTGCAATCTTAGTTGTATTAATTTTAATTTTTTTTACAAACATCAAAATATGGCTGTAAGATTGCCAACTCCACTACAATTTAAAATATTGTTTATGATAGAAATGTATGTAAGGAAGATTGTCCATACTATTTTTCTTTCCGAATATTTAGCATTGTCACAAGGGAAGCACGTGAATGGAAGAGATGATGAAGTCTTGGCACATCAAATGAATGATGGGAGAGAGATCAACGGTCGGGTTCAGAATTCAGCATGGCTACAGGTACAAGCAAAGAAGGTCCAATTTGCACTGCAGTGACCGTTGGAGGGATGCATTTATTGATTGCATTATTTTCCATTTCGACAAATCATAGTAAGGTCATCGGTTTAAATTTTGTCTTTTGTACGTAATTGCGTTAAATTTTAGGATCAGCTATCCCACTTTTTGAAGTACCTCTAATGTAGCGAGAAGATTAGTCATTACTATCGACGGTGAATATTCTATGAACCAAAAAAAATATTAAAAATGTTGTCATTTTATCTAATAATTGCTGTTTGAGCATCAAGGTACTATAGTTACGCTTTTGTCTTTTTTATGAGCCAACTCAACCCGGTCCACTTTTAATTTTCTCAAAATAAATTTGGTGTGGCCCGGCCCACCACGAGTTGGTGGGTTATACGGGTCAGCCTACCAGCCCACCAAAAATTTTAAAAAAAAATTATCAACAAAATTTAAAATTTAAAATTAATTATAAATTAATATAATAGTCATAAAATTAGCATCATTAATAGTCATAAGTCATAACTCATCATACAAAATTAAATACAAATCATGATAAAAGTTTAAAATAAAATTTTTTATTATCCCATCATACAAAATTAACTACAAATCATACTTAAATTTTTATTGTAAAAAAAAATGGTGGGTTGGTGGGCTACCCGGCCCACCACAGGTTTAACCCGGATGGACCGGGTCAAAGTGGGCCGGTTGAAATATACTCACTTATTATAAAATTCAATTTTTTTTAACCCAGCCCAGTTCGTTTTTAAGGTAGGCTGAATTGGCCCACAAGTCTCGACCTACTTTGACGGCTCTAACCAAGATCATAGTAAAATACTCTAATTTACTATTGCAATCTTAGTTGTATTAATTTTAATTTTTTTTACAAACATCAAAATATGGCTGTAAGATTGCCAACTCCACTACAATTTAAAATATTGTTTATGATAGAAATGTATGTAAGGAAGATTGTCCATACTATTTTTCTTTCCGAATATTTAGCATTGTCACAAGGGAAGCACGTGAATGGAAGAGATGATGAAGTCTTGGCACATCAAATGAATGATGGGAGAGAGATCAACGGTCGGGTTCAGAATTCAGCATGGCTACAGGTACAAGCAAAGAAGGTCCAATTTGCACTGCAGTGACCGTTGGAGGGATGCATTTATTGATTGCATTATTTTCCATTTCGACAAATCATAGTAAGGTCATCGGTTTAAATTTTGTCTTTTGTACGTAATTGCGTTAAATTTTAGGATCAGCTATCCCACTTTTTGAAGTACCTCTAATGTAGCGAGAAGATTAGTCATTACTATCGACGGTGAATATTCTATGAACCAAAAAAAATATTAAAAATGTTGTCATTTTATCTAATAATTGCTGTTTGAGCATCAAGGTACTATAGTTACGCTTTTGTCTTTTTTATTCTCATTTGCTACTCAGTCATGATCTTTCATTGCTATTACAGTATTTTTATTTTATTTTTATAATTAGCTGCATGTAGTTTTTTCCATAGTGTTTGAGACAGATGTTAAATATTGACACTTCTATTAATCTGTCATGTGAAAAACTAGCTCCTTCTACTAAACTAATTTCAATGCTTCATTACTATTTTATTTTTTTTTTAGTTATTGTTTTGGATGTTGGACTCCTTTTAATTTCCTTCCCGTAATTATGCTATGTCAGCTCTTAATTATTGTAGTTTTTTCAATCATTTTTTGTCCTCTGATTTCCATGAATTAATGTATTTCATGACATTTTAGAATTTTTTGGACAGGATTCGACAATTTTTTATTCTAAGTCAGTTATATAAAAATATATATACATCTATGTATTTTAGTCCAACTTAATTTTATATATGTTTGCAAAATAAAATAACTCGTATTTAAGATTAATTTTTGGTGTTTAATATAAAACTTTGGACCCCAAAATTTCTTTGCATATGATAGATAAGTCCACCATCGCTAGACTCAGATGTACTGTTTGTATTGTCTCTCCACCAACATTTTAGCTACGTCTATGAAGGCAGTCACTTCCACTAAAAAGATGAAAATGAAACACCACCACTTTAAAAGAAAGAGTCACCTACAACTGAAATGGCTATCAGACTAACACTTTGATTCAACTTTTCTGTCTTCACCATAATATTTTTAAATTTTTTTATTAGGTTTTAAGTTTTATTTTAATGATTTTATTAAATATTAACATCTTTTATGTCGCTTTAAAAAATTTATTCTCACTAACAGGATAAAAGTATTCCCTAATTCCAATGTATAAAAAGTAAAAAATTATTTTCATAAATAACACAGTTATTTATGGGTAATTTTAGAATAAAAAAAAATTATTCACAAGTAATTTAAAAAAATAAAAAAGAGTTGTTACTTATAAGTAATTTCAAAATAATATAAATAAATAAATAAATAATAAAGATACTGATATAATAGGAAAAGATAGTTTAGAGAGTTGTAACCAATAAAAATAGTTTATATTAAAATAAAACCTAAAAATAATTATTAAGGCATATATTTCTTTTATATAATGGTATAGATAACAAAAATCATCAACTTTCAATTTTGTATCCAAAATATTATTGTAGTTATTTAAATATTTTTAATCTTTAATAATTATATTAATTTATTCTTTTTTTCAACTATTTATTGAAGATAGATCCACACATTACTTATTAAAGCTATGTTTGACTTGTGTTTCTTTTAGTTTAAAAGTTATTTTGAAGTCAAAATTTAAAATAAGAGTACAATCATAAATAGTCTTAAGTGAATGAATTAACCGGTTACTTAAGAACACTTTTTGTGAGAATTATATTTGCTTATGTAGATTTAAAGCTAAAAATTAACTCTTACATAGTTGAGCATGGCCTTAGAAATATACTATTTAATACACTTTTTAACACAATTATTTTTATCAATGTTAGCAATATACTATTTAACACATAAGTTTTAAAATAATTGTTTTTATTGATTGTAATTTATTATAAACTACAAAATCATAGAAGATAATCATTAGGATGTGGGACTTATAATTTTATAATTTTTAATAAATTTTAATCAATAAAAATAAGTGTATTGAAAATAGTGTATTGGAGAGATCTTATGATACTTTTCCTATATAATTCTACCATTGGTGTAAGATGGTAGAAAAAAACAGTCATAAAAATAGTTCATCCACAAAAACTTATCATCAACATTACAAACTTATTTCTTGTTAGACCCATTACAAATATAAATGCATGAATCAAGCTGTAATATTCATTTTAAATTTTTAAAAAATTTGCATTATTAATGTTAAAAGTTCATAAAATTGTTAAATCATGCATATAAGATTAATGAAAAAGGAGTCAAATAATCTAATGTTGTAAATAATTGAAGATGCTCTTTCTTATATCATTTCTTATATATATTTAATTAAATAATAAAACACTTTAAATGATAATGTTGTCCTCGTTAAGTATTATATTTTTGCTGAATTACTTATTGAATCAAAGAAATGAGTAAAAAGGCGTCTGGGTTGATCCTCAATTACTCGTCTTCGATCCCTTGCAACAGCAAGTCGTGGTTCCCATATCTGACTTTCAATTTTCAAAAGTTTACACAAGACTAGTCTGAAATTCAAATAGTTTTTGAAGGGACTATTGTAGGTTCTATTATTAGTTTACGAAGATGAGAGAGAGAGAATAATTCATGATGTTTATGAGTTCAACTTTTTATTATATTAAAAAGACAATTTATCTGACGGATATTAATTTCAAACCACTTGTGGATAAATTAACGTTTGAATAATGTATAGTAAAGTCCAAAAATAATTTGAATTCGAAAGTAACAAGAAAGTGTGAATGAAATAGAAAATGTATGATTTTATTTGGCCGTACCCCTCCCTCGCTCCTTCACATGAGGACCTGCTCTTGTGTCTAGTGTAAATGAGATGCTCCCCCAAATGTTTACAAAACAAACAAATTAAGACAAAACCCTAACCAAAAGAATACAAAATATGACCTTCATTTTTCATCACCCAACAAATTACACTAACGTGTTTGAAAAGTGCCAAGTAAACAACAATGTAGTGAGCTAACGCGGAAACCTCTTACGAACTTTTATGGACCTTCATTCTAATCGTACGGAACCCTTGGGCTGGGACATGAGATGCCCCAGTCACGTGCCCCTCTTTCCTTCCTACTCTCTAATTTTCATTTCCAAATTTGCAAACAAAACAAAAATTAATTTTTTTTCAGAATAGTAACCGTTATTAATCTAATAAATCTTCAAATATGCATATGAAAACACAATATTACAAACATGATTAGTCATTGATTGTATAAGTTGAAGTAAGTGTGACAGAAAAAAAAAATGCAGATACTCTTAAGAAGAAAATGTATTCAACAAGTACTTAAGCTTTATATCTTTTATATATTAACACCAAAAACTTTGCAATTACTTCAAGTAGTACTTAAGCTTTAATTATTATTATAATAGATCCTTCCATTCAATTATTTTGAGTAATTAATGGTAAATCTTCGGATCCATCCATTTGATTAAATTTGAAATATTATGTATTTTAGTAACATTTTGAATTGAGCTAGTGCTAGTCAAATGTCATTGTGTTTAGAACCACTAGTGTTGATCTGATGCCACGTAGGGGAGTTGAGGTAGATGCCACCAAAAAAAATTGTCATCACGTATCCTATTTTCTTCCCCCAATTACACAGGATAATGGCCAAATTGTGTCTCTCAACTGTGTGACCCTTGAATTGAGTCAAACCCGGAAACTCCGAAGCCATGTGATTCGTGAAAAACCATAACCACCATGTCGAGTGTCATTTATCCACTCTACTCCAACATCTCCACGCTGAACAGCCATCGTCAATGATGTGGAGGGACAACATATCAAAAGCAATTAAGTATAGGAGTGTGCTAGAGAAAATTTTCTTCACCTATCATTTATTATGTTTCAAAAAAGAACATTCATTTTTATTTTAAAATTTGTTGTACAAGTATCATTTTTCAAATTATTTTGGATGAGTTGAAGTTGATGAAAACATAGACGGATCTATATGGTTGATAGTGGGAGCATTTGTTCCTATTATCATTTTACACATACATACTTTTTTTTATAAAAAAGATTAGTATATTTAAAAAAAATAAATAAAAGTTATATTTTAATAAAATAAACATATATATTTAAATTATTGTACGTATAAAATTTAAATTCAGAGAAAATATTTATTTATTTGATGTCTGTTAAACTTTTAAAAGAGATTAGTTCTCGTATATGATGAAAAATATTTCTTGATAACAAACTAATTATTTTTAAGTTTAATTATAATGTGTGTGTGTATAATGTATATACATATATTGTAAGATTTATGTTCTATTTAAAAATTTTATTATAAAATATATTTTAAAATAAATTATCATCTAAAAATTTATATTAGATATTAAAAATATGTTTATATCATAAATAAATTAAAATTTATTTTTATAGAATTTAACATATTTATTTTTATGTTTTTATTAATTTTAAATTATTATAATGTATGTCTCCCAGATTATAGTTCTTATAAATATTTTTTAAAAAAATATCTATAACAGAAAAATAAGTTATATTTAGGGAATGTGTTTTAATAAAATTTAGTTTAGACCTATTAAATTATAGTATAATTTAGTCTGATCTAATTTATTTTCACTACTTATTGTAATTATAAATATAAAAATTTATAAAAAAAAATAGTTATAATATATATTTATATTTTTAAAAATTATATATATAATTTTGAATATTATAAATATAATTTTGAATATTATAAATATACGGATAAATATTCTCTTGACTATCTAAAATTTTTATGTATGTTACTGGAAGAGAATAATGTGGGTGAGTTGGTGATGGAAGGGCATTGAGGGGTAGAGAGTGAGTTGATGTCAAGTAAGGTAAGGTTGAGAGTATATTAAAAGAAAATAATTGTAGGATATTGAGTTGGTGTAGTGTCCATATGTTAGGGTGGTCGATCACGATCCTCAAACATTAGCACGGGAAACAAAGACACAATAATATAAATTATACACAAGTAATAATAAATTTATTCTAATTGATTTGTTTTTTTTTTTAACTCTCATAATATTATGACATTTCATTTTAACACGAGAATCTGAATCTAGTGTTAGGCCACACTGATTCGAAGAGGAACAGGGTGATTGTGATTTAGTATTTCTTATTCAAGATGATTTAAAAATTGAAGTTTCTTCAATTTCCCTAGACCGTTTGGTAACGCTAACGCATTACATATCAATGAACGTGCACTTAGATAGTGAATAGTTTCTTTTGCGTTATTTTCTTTTATGAAAATTTGCCCTAATGTTGATATGTGACAGAAGTTCACTGTTATAGTTATTTAAATTTTACAGTGACACTTTGGCATAAAACCTAAAGTTTAAGATGATCGAATAGGAACACTAAGTAACATTTGTCTTGCCTCTGCTAATTTGCAAACTGTTTTCCCAGTGATCCGAAATTTTTGTGGCATGGCCGAATACAACAGTGTGCCTCGTTCTTGTGTCCATTACTATTAATGTTGTTTTTATGTGTCAGTTTTTTTCTGCCTGCAAGCCCATACATTATACATACATTGGATGCATATCCTTTTCCAAATTCCAAGGAAATCCAGCCTCAGTAAAAAGAAGCCAAAAAAGAATTTCACGTATCTCTGTCAAACGACAATGAAATTCAAATTATGCTGAAAAGATGAGACCTTTCGGCTTTCACGCACACAGCCCACACTTTGATTCTCATGTTCATATCCTCCTTACTGTGCTAAAACGACACCGACTTAAGCCATTTCCTTGAGAGCAAAACGACGCCAGGCTCACATTTCAATTAAAAACTATACTGTACAAAATACGTCCACACGTGCACAGCTGCTCCTATTTACAAACCAAACAAAAACCTCCATACAGATACAAGCTAGTAAACAAAAATCATAAACGCAAAACAATAAAAAATAAAATTTAAAAAAGGTTTCATTTTACTGTACACAACCGTTGATCATTGATTATGAACTTAGAGTATCGTATCGTTTATATAAAAAGATGTAGTAAAATTTAAAACTCTTTGATCTATTTTGTGCACTTTGTTTCATAGTACAACGCGTTTGCTTCCCCAATTCTTCATCGTTTTTCACCCAAAAAAATAAAAATAAAATTAAAAAAAGTGTAGGTAAATAAATTCATCCAGTTTCCCTTTCCGAAGTATGGTGTCTTGACCGGGAAACCGACTGAGCCAGTTTCTCGATTCTCTGGGCGAGTTGAGGCGAGAGCTTCTTAGCCGGTTTGCGTTCCTTCTCGGGTCGGAAATCGAAACCCAAAGCTTCGGAAACCTCTTCGGAGCTCCAGCCAGCTTTTCGGAGGGAATCCGAAAACCTATCCGCTTTCAAAAGCAAAGCATCCAAAAGCGCTTGATTATCCAAAACCACCATTTCCCCTTCGAAGAATCCAGAAGCTGAAACCTCAACCATTTCCTTTATATCCGATTCGCTCCACCCGCCCGCTTTCAAAACCGACCCGATTTGACTTATGTACTCTTCCACCCACCCGGGAACCTTCGATTTTCGCATCTCGAAGAACCTCTCCGGCGAAGACGACGACGAAGACGACGAGTTCCTCCTCCGCCTATCCGTCGCGGCGTCGGTCCAGAACTCCACCCACCGCGGCGTCCTCCCGCCGGCGTCGAGGCTCCGCCGCGAGAACGCGGCGGAAACGCCGGCGGATTTCTCGCTGACGGAGCGCTGCTTTTTGAGAACCATAGGATCGGACTCAGAGCAGCGGAACAGCGACTCGCGCTCGAAGAAATCGGAGAGATCCAAGCCGCAGCAGAAGATTCTGTTCTCGTCGACGAAGAAGATAGGGTTTCCGGCGAGGGAGGGGTTCGAAGGAATGTAGCAATGGTTGAAGATAGGGATCAGCAGCGGCGCTCTCTTCAGCGCGTTCCGCGCCAAGCGCAGCGCCTTCTCCGGCTCGCACGGCCGCGGACCCCACGACTTCGACCACAGCGCGTTCCGCGCGATCTGGAACGAAATCGCGGCGATCGGAAGGTCGAGCGACGCGCGCAGGTGGAGGCGCGCGCCGCCGGAGCGCCAGTCCGGGAATCCCGGACCGACGGGGAGCCCCGCCGCGAGGACGGCGCGGAGGTCCGGAGGGAACGCGAACCCGAACTCGGCCTCCGCACGTGCGAACTCGGCGTCGGAGAGGCCGTGCTGCACGTGTATCCCCGAGTTGCGAAGGTGGTTTAGGACCTTGTCTGCGAGTGAAGCGAAGGAAACGACGCCGTTGCGGACTGGGAGAGTGGGCGCTGCTGCCGCTCGGGCCGATAAACGACGTAGGCCTGCTATGTGGGCCGGGTTTAGACCGGTCATCCTCCGGTCCACGTCGACCATTTTGGTTTGAAGAGAGTTTTGAGTGATCGTTAGTGTGTTCTTCCCTGCCTTTCTTTCTAGTTTCTACACACTGGACTTCAACTTCCGCACAAGGAGCCTCTTTATTTTATAGCACCAAAACGCTGGACCCCACTTTCGGATTTCTTTTTTTTTTTTTTTTCTCTTTTTCTCATAAGCCATGTTTTTGTCGTAAATGGTAAATAGAAATTTGCAAATTACAAGGCGTGATATGATATGATATGATATAATCATATAATAGCTGTTGAGCAACGGTTCATTCAGGAAACACCTGTGACTGTATTATTTGTGTTCCTTTATCAACGGGAGTGCCATTTTTTGCGACTAATCTCTTTAATCTATTAATAATATTTTGTTGATTTATTCTACTCATGGTAAGTAAGTTGCGATTTGCTTTTTGAGTGAGCATAAAGAGATTTGGCATTATTGTTTTTACTATCATGTATGGCTTGGTTAAGTTGTGGTTTAAGATTATTATTGGTAGTAAGTATGCATGACTAATGTTTGGCCCACGAGCAATCATGGGTATGTTTGGCGGGGGAAATAAAAGCTAAGCACACAATCATCATGGCACATTGTTGGGTTGTACTCTAACGTTAATCTCTTCTTTTCTTTTCTTTTTTTCTTGTTACTTTTATTTCTTTCCGCCATTGATAGAAGAAACATGAAGAAAAAGGTTATTTCGAACTAATGATTAGTGATTAAGAATTACGTAGGTTAAAGAGGAGGTGTCCCTGAAATAGAGGGCATGGTTAATTCTGCAATTAATTGGCCTCCCATCCAATCCCAAGTACCAATATCTGTCGAAACAACAGTAGTAGCAACTTTGGCGTTGTTAACCTCCGTGGTATTACTATTTTCCCATTCAATTTGTCGTGGTTTGGTCTCGATGCAACCTCTTTATAAATTTTAATCTTTTATTTATATTTAAGTCATATCACATTTAATAATATAATATTTAGAAATTAAAAGAAATTATAAAAAAATATATAAATAAGATTTATTAATAAAATAAAAATTAATTATTCATTAAAATATAAATATATATATATATATATATATATATATTATTTTTTACTTTCTCCCTCTCTCTTTTTCTTCTTCTTCTCCTTTATGATAAAACTTAGATATACATTTTTCTTTATAATATGTTTGTTGCTGATTTTCACTCAAAAAATAACAGTTTCATTCTTGCAATCTCCATAATAAATTTAAACATGGATTACTGAAATGAAAATCTAATTGAATAATAGTGATAAAAGCACTTTGGTAAAAAAAAAAAAAAAAAACCAATTGAAACTTAAAAGACACACACATATATATATATATAGATAACTCTTTTCCCATCTCTAAGAGTTCTTTATAAATAAATAAATATATATATATATATATATATTTATATATATATTTCATATATAACAGCATAAAGTTTTAATACATAACAAGAGTGCCTACAAAAAAAAATTATATTGCTTACCAAATATAATTGATAGCATTCTTCATATATTTATGTGTTTGTGTGCATGTTGTTTTAAGAAATAAAAATGAATCCAATTTTACCTCTTGAGTATTACAATCGTCATATATCATTATTATTGATATTGGTGTATAAACTTGATTATGAGGTAATATATTTACTTTTTTATTATAATTTAATGATTAAAATCGAAGAGTGTTACTTGCATTCTAACATGATCCTCTTTAGAAGAAAAAAAAGGTAATAAGTAAAATTTATATGACTTTCAATCATCTTCTCCTTCTTTTCATTTTTTCTTAATTTTTCAAATATTCATGAGTTAAGCCATTCTCGTTGAGAATTGATATAGTTAGACCTAATATCGTGCACTTTTTTAATTATTTATTTACTTTTTATATATAAATTATTAGTTTTTTCATACTATTCTTAGTGTATATTGTGTCTTGATCACTCATAATATGATTTATTGGACTTAAACATAGTCGAAAAATGTTCTTGAAAGTGTGAATTGAAATAGAAATCAAATAAAATTATATAGGTTAGCTTTCACACCTATTGGTCGAATGATGTATATGAAAGAAGTATAGTAAATACTAATCTCTATTATAACTTCAAGTCTTACTGTATTTAATGTATTGTTTACTTTGATGTATTGCAATTTTATCTTTTATTTTATTTGAATTATTATGATTTTATCCTTAAAAAATATTTTGGTGTGTAAGAGAAAGAGATGTATTTATAAATTATCATTGACTTTATTTTTTATATAATGCAACAACCCCTAACATTTATATCATATTAATTAGTTCATCTTTTTTTTTTTGCATTTTAATAATTGAAATATTCTAAAAATAATAATTTATTATATTTTTTTTAACTTGAAGTTTTAATTTAAATTATCACAACAATCATTGAAGGTCATTTTATAAATTAGATATAATAGTGTTAACTTTGAGTAAAATCGCAATTCTCTTGAGAAATAATATATAATCACAAAATTACTGCTAACATGATGTGATATATTTGACAAAATTTTAACAAATACTTCACATAAAGTTAATAGGATGGTTGATATCTTGTGATAGTGTAACTATCTTAACTATTTTCTTTTATTCATTTTCATTAAAATTAAACTTGATATAAAAATTACGATAACTTACATAAATTCATGTGAATCAATTGGGTTAAGTCCTATTGATTTATTTTAACCATATAAAACCACAACAAGATTGAGTTATAGTATCTAACAAATGTGTTGAAGTGTTAATATTATAAAACACGATATTTTTTATTTGTCGTTATCTGTTTTTTATATTATAAAAAAACATTAAAAATGAATTTAAATACAACATATATATATATATTTATTGATCTTTAAAAGAATATAAATATACATCTTAAAATAAAAAAGAATAGTTTCCACATCTTTTAAAATAGGAAATGTAATTTACCATAAAAGAAATAAAGCGTTAGTTAGCTTCAGAAGCTAGCAGAAGTGCTGCCATGGGTACTGTTTCGGAGAAGTTCAACGATTTAAAAGCATGGGTGAGAAGTTGGCATCACGCATCCTCGTTATTAATGTGATGGTTCACCCTAAAAGGTGACGATGTATTTGGATTTGGAGGTTAGGAAGAACAGTAACCTCAACGGCTCAACCTCAACCATAACTATCACACACACACACTCTCTACAGGATGGGGTTGCTTAAATAAATGCACAATGCACGCAATAAATTATAAATTAAATTTTCCAATTAAAGACTAACATAAAAGTAATCAAATTATTATATCTAAGCTTAATTTCGGAAAAAATTCCTAAATAAAAATAAAATAAAATAGAAACCTCTTAAAACTATTCATGTTTCCAATAATATTATCAAAACTTGTAGGAATACAAGTTAAAAATGGGAAAGAATTTAACTAATGGACAAACCATGTAACTGAATTTTATGTTAAATCTTAATCTAAAAAATTAAAATATTGTTATTATTTTTCTGTTTTACTTATATACTATGAATCATTTTTGGTGTTTTATTACTAATAATAAAAAATATTATCATAGACTTAAACTAAACATGTTATTTTTAACATAGTTATCTCTTTTCAATATAAGACTTCTCGCTCATACTTTACACTAATCAATTTTAAATTTAATTAGATACAAATTTAGAAGAAAAAAATTGCTAACTTTTTCTATTAAAAAAAGGGTTTATATTTTTTTAAAAAAAATTAAACTTTTTTTTAATTAAACTTGTATTCGAACATATTTTTAATCTATGAAGTTTAGTACTACATTTAAAACTTGCAAAGAATTGACCACTTTAAAGGGTAGGTTTATCCAAGAAGTTAGGGGAATCCTAGAAATTGCTTTCAAAAGAGAAAAGGGATTATTTAGCGACCGCCATTGCTAGGAAAGCCGGCATCTGATATTTTCTTTTTGTTATTTTTCTTAACGTCTCTTTGTAGCATTGGATGCATACACATGATGCCTTCCTACAATCACTTGTGAAAATTTTGATTATGGCCGCCCAACTGACAAGTGTTTTTCCCCACTCTTAACTTTATTAATATCAAAATGTTTGTACTTAATTGTTCTATTTAAGGGAGCACCATCAACTGTTTATTGGACATAAAAGACCCTCTAGTCAAACATAAACTTTGCTTTGTGTCAACATATGAAAGGAAGAAATTAAGATGCATTGGTTAAGGCATATGTATTGCAATATTTGAGCTAAGAAAGAGAAAAGAAAAACGCAAGTGTGGCTTAATAAATCCTTTGCACATGCATTTTTGGCTTCAGACCCCAACTAGAAAAGCACTTGATGAGTGAATATAATTTGGATAAAGTTATCCCCTGTCTAGTAGTTTCTTATTATGTGCTTGCAGTGTGATAAATAAATTTTGTACAAAGAATTATATTGATAGTTATTTTGATTTGTATAATATGTCAAATTGCATATTAACGGTCACTTTCTGAGGCTGTGCACGTGACCAAAACACTGATATTCCCCCAAACTGCAATATACTATTGCTATAGCTATAAGCCACCAAAGATATTGGCGCAAAGAAAGGAAAATAATAAGTAGCTAGGGTGAAACAAAGCAACTGTCATGTGAACTTGGCCAAAAACTTGGACCATTTCCATGAAAGAAATAAATTGGTTTAATATCTTACCTGATCATTGGTTGGTAACGATGGAATTCGGTCAACGACTTTGTGTTGCATATTAATTACTGTATTTTTCTTCTTTTTTTATCTGTTTGAACCAAAGAGCATATTCCATTATAAAAATTGATGTCTCAAATAACACCTTAAGACAGGAAGAGAAAGAGCGGAAAAAATAAAATTATATGTATGATCAAATAGTTAAAATTTTCACTTGACTTTAGATATAATATAAATTATATATGTCGAGAGGAAAATGGTGATTTTATATGTGCATGCAACATTTTAACAAAGATCGGTCACTATTTTTTACAGTTGATATTTCTTACCAATATCATAATTGTCAAAAAAATATATATGCATATGATGAGTAATTTGATGCAATAAGAAGAAAAATAAGGAAAAATAAATAATGTCAAATTATATTTTCTTTTTTG